GGGCAATCGGACACGATCCTCTATGAATCGGAAATGAGCAAGTTTATTGCTGAATAAAAAGTACGGATTTGCCTTGCGAGCCTTTTTTTCGCCTTTTTCTCCCTCCTTTCACCTCGTCGTTCTCTTCTCTTTTTATTCTATCGTCATCCTGCGATCCTTACTCTTGATCAAGCGTAATACGATTAACTCGAACATCGGAAAACATGTATGAGGCGCATAAAAAACTTTACCGTAAAATGGGATAAAGGATTATATCGACGGAGGCAGGTATCCCGGAATCCCGGAACTTATCTCGGAAGCGTGAATGATCAGACGTTCTATTTCTGATTTGTAAAATTATTATTAATCCGAATGTAACCAACGCAATACGCCTATGTGTTTCATTTCGAAATTATTTGCATAAATCTGATCGGGATAAAAAAGTGTGACGTAAACTGTGTGAAAAAAAATAGATAAAATAAGTTAAAGATGAAATTCGAAGAGATTATTTCGTTTCATGGGATTTGAAAACTACTGTGCTTTCACCGCGTTCATCGGGATTTTCCGCGATGCGCGATGGGGTCGTACAAACAGTACGCCACGTCCCCGTTGTGGGGGAAGCAGATGGAAACCAGACTCCGTTTCCGTCGGATGTGATGTACGTCAGTGATATGTTACCCCGATCGTTCTAGTTTAACGTTTCGACTCGCCTACACTTGTAACATTAAACGAGATAACACTTATTAATCACCCTTAAACTTTACGCGATTACAATGCTTTTTCGCATTGCTTAACTCCTAAGATTCGTAACAAAAATGTCAACTGACGGTCTGCGAACCGGGTAGACGATCACAATTGCCGCTAACACAATCAGGGAAGATACCCTTAAACATCTAAACGCCTCGAACGGGCGATGGTATTTCCGCGACGCCTCGTTCGCGCGAACGAGCGTTTCTTGCCTTATTATTATCTATCGGGAGATTAGTGGTAGTTTCGCTCTCTCGTTAGTCTTTCCGAGGAGGGGTAATCTTCCTCCTCATCGTCGCGCGCGATTCTCGACGAATTGTCGTCATAAAAAATCTTACCCGAATACTTAAGTCGTTAACAGCGCTTACGATTATCGCTTACGACTCACCCCCCTAGGCGTCGACTTGTCTTCGATCGTCTGACGCCGCGATCGCGAGTCCGATTTCGCGAATCAGCTCGTCATTTTTCGAATGTGATCGGTATACAAAAGGACAGGAGTCAGTTTCGCTCAAAAAAATCAATATGCCCGTAAAGCTCGCACACGAGCATCTATACGATAGATAAAGAGGTGATGTGTTATGTGTGTATGTATATATGTGTGTGTGTGTGTGTGTATGTATGTTTGTATGTATGTATGTGTGTTT